CAAATGTTTCTTATCAAGTTTATTTTTGTTTCCATCGACATGTCTTTTGAAATAGAAAGATGTTTGAACACGATTATTAGACGTTTAATGGAAATAATGTTCAGATTATAAATATATCGCCATGCGATTGGGACACAAAAAAGTGTTTGAATGGATTTGAATAATACTTACTAATCACAAGTGCATCAGTAGTTTCATATAAAACTATGCTTGAACTCATCTATTTTGCATATAATGTTTATACATGAGTTATCATGCAATGTAACAAAGACTATCGACTATATATTTTTATTTTGATAGTAGACTGAAGCTAGATGATCATTTATACAAAAAACAACACTTTTAGGAGTATGCATGACTAAAAGAACGATTCTTTTTTTCATCAGAAAAAAAGTTAATTGAACAGATTTTTTATGATATTAATATAATTACTTGTTGATAGGGAACTAGAAGTCTTGAAGGTTGTTGTCAATGAAAAATAAATACTTCGAAAAATCTTAGCATGAACATAAGTATTCATTGTTTAACGAATATTTGTTCATCAATAATGTATTTGTATAACATATTTCTAAGAAAACTTAAATTCAATTATTTTTTTGTCTGATGTTTAATGCATTATATTTATTATATAATACTTGACATAATCAATGGTTTCATATCATTATATCGTCTTTGTTAAAAAAGAACTGATATAAAAAACAAAGGACATTGACAAAAAGTGATTGTATACTTCTATTCTCTGGCAGAATTTCTATAATTATTCATTTACAATCAACAAAAAAGAAAGAAAAAAGATGTATGAAAAACACATTATTATCATCCTTTCAGTGATTCAAATGTGAACCTGATTTGTACTTTCGTATTGAATATTACCAAAGAGTAGTTTTATAGTTAAATAAATTACTCTCTCTCTAACAAATCGTAATGAATTAGCAGATATTTACATTCTTTCATCTACCTGATAGTGTCCACTCTGAGAGTTCGATAATACTCTTATAATTAGAAAAATTCTTGCTATTCTATTTGAAATAATCGATTTCTAAAAATCTTGTAAAAAATCATTTCTGAGGAACAAATGACACTCAATTGAAGAGAAAGATGTATATTAAGCCTTACTTTTAGTGGAGCAGAGAAAGAGAAAAAAAAAACAATTGACAAGTAACTCATATCGATTTTTCTTTAGCTATAAGAGTGTTTTTAGACAGACAAAGACTGAGTATTGCTGCTATTAAAAATGGTATTTTTATGAGGGAAAATTGTGAAGAATACATTTACCGAGAAAGAAAAATGCATCGGCATTCAAGATATTAATTTCATTATCTTTGTATGTATGTGAGCATTTGCAATTCAGAGATAGACAAGACATAAGGAATGATACTTATGATCGAAAAATGTTTTTCTTTGTTCTTTTTGCATTAGTATAACTTTCAAAAGGATTCTTCGATTGCTATTAGATTCTTGTAGTCTATATTTTTGTTTGTTTTCATTATTTCTCCTTTATCACTGTATACCAAGCTAATTTATTAGTTCTTCTACGGAATTCACATCGAACTCCTTAGAATCCCGTTTAGTTTCATTAATATTGCCTAACATGTTATGAGTCATGATGAATTTTGTATTTGGATGTGATTGACATGCTGAAAATTGCGAGTTGAATTTCTTTGGTTAGCATAAATCTTTTTTTGACAAAAAACCGATTTGTTTTTGTAATGTTTTATTGGAAACTTTGGATGATTTCTTTCGATTTAAATCGAAGTGCTTTTTTTACTGTTTTCCAGGCTTTGCCAAATTATCATACATAGATTATTAAAAAAAACTTGACGTTGTATCCGTGGTGTATTGGTTGGTTGCTATTATCTTTTATATTCAGAAAATTTAATGTACAACACACATGGGAGAAGGAGTGAAAATGCCGTACTTCAGCGTACTTCCTGTACTTTCAGATTATGTAATAACTGTACATCAGATCTCTTTAGCTATTTCAAGTCTACTATCGACATGTGTCAAGGCATATTAGCCGGAGTCTAGCTTACTTAAGTCAACTTCATCCTAAAGCCCAAATACTTCACGGTACTTCCAATTCGGAAGTACCGTGAAGTATTTGGGCATTTTTGTCAGATAGACTTAGGTAGATTGAACTCCGGCTAATATACTGTAACACAGGTCGATAGTAGACTTGAAATAGCTAAAGAAATCTGATGCACAGTTATCACATAGTCTGAAAGTACAGGAAGTACGCTAAAGTACGGCATTTTCATTCCTTCCCCCTTGACAACATACAACTGTAATTGGATCACTGTGAGACTTTTCAAGCATTCAAGTATTATATTTTTTTCAAGACATAGCAAATGCATTGAAACTTATGGCATTGTTAGTTCATATTCGTGCTATATTTAAAGTTACGGTAGTTGCGGGTATGGGTGGGTGTAAGTGTGAGTATGAGTATCAATCCCCCTTTAACTCACACAAACCCACACCCACCCACACCCACCCGCATCCATACACCGCACCAACACCCACATCCACCCGCACCCATACACCGCACCAACACCCACATCCACCCACACCCATTTCCCATACCCCATACCCAGACACCCACACTCACACCCCACGCTCACACTGATCCAAACCCACACCCAAACACCCATACCCCACAGTCACATCCTCACCCACACCCTCAAGCCCGAGACCAACGGACACGGTAAGATCTACACACAGCCAAAATCCATGCCAGCCATTTGTATTCACATCCACACCAAAAGTCACAAAAACTTTGAATATTCCTGTTATTGAAGAAAAGAGTAGTGCATTTCATAAAAATACAGTGGAGATATCAAGAACATCAGTATCAGAATCGCATTTATGATGTCGCATGTATACTAGTCGTTTCAAAGCTTTATTATTTTTCACATATTCACATAACTCTTTATCATATTCTCATCAAAAAGAGTGCTTATTTTTTCTTCTATTTCATTTGATTATGCAGTATTAGGCATAGTTTTTCTACCGTCTTAATACTGAGGCGAAGCTGAATGTTCAATAACACAAGTGTTGAACAATTTACCGGTCATAGGATGGAAGTCTATGTGTTATTTAAAATAATCGGACAAGAAATTTATTAGACAATGAATCCTACTTTGCCGCACCATATTTGTCTGATTAAGACAAACGATGGCAACTTCTACTACACTGATCTTCAAATGGACGATGACGATAAAAAAGTAAAGATACAGC